AGATCCTCCCCGGGATGGTCCTGAAAGAAATGCAGCCCTGCTGACCAGCACCTGTGGCACTGATGTTGGACTTCTGGCCTACAGGAAAGTGAGATGATAAGTGCACGTGGCTGAAGCCACTAAATTCGGCTACTTATGACCAGTTAGTCAGGGATGCATTCTCTGCGGAGGAACCCTTGAGCTGAGATCTAAATGATCACAAGAAGCCAATTCATGAACTTCCTAGGAAGTGTAGTCCAGGCAGAGGGAAGCATAAATCTCTGAGGTTGGAGCAAACTTGGCATGCTTTACCATAACGTGAAGGCCACGACGACTGGCACTTGTTAGTGAGAGGGCGAGCAGTCCAGGAGGAGATCAGAGCTCCAGGCAGGTACCAGGCAGGTACCAGGCAGGCATCAAGAGCCTTCTGCTGCTTTAACTTGTGTTGTGGCCCTGCCGTCATTAGAGTGTGTGCATATGGAGACTCCTCAGTTCCCTGTGAGGCCCTGGAGAGCCTGAGGAGCAGGGACTGATCCCACTCCTCTTTGGCCCCCCAGCACAAGGTAGTCGTAGCGCCTCAAACATACAAGCTCACAAATGTAGAGCTGTGGGAGAGCTGTTTGAGATTTTTTAGAAAAGCAGAACAATAGTAAGATTAATCTGTTTGGAAATACCAACTACTGAGAGCTCCCTGAATTTTAATTTCTTGCTTGTCATCATTTGGGTAACCATTTTATGGCATATTAAGGGAAAGTGATTTGTGGCAGTATGTGAATCAAAAAGCTGCAATTCAGATGATAAAACAAAATTGTTGTCTGCGGTCCCTAGTGGGATTTTCTTTAACACTGCTATCATAATCCGGTTTGTTTCTAGCTTAAAAAAAAAAAAAAATGAGCAATAGCCCTTGGGTGTTTATTAGATGAAAATTTTTCCTAACAGTTAACACTATTTTGAAAAACAAAGTGGAGATAATGTACATTCTATTATTGCAAGCAAGTATTTGTAGAGGGACTATCATGTGCCAGAAGCTTAGCTCCTGCAAGCCCCACTCCACTTGACTGAGGCTGAGGCTGGTGCTTTTATCATTTCCATTTCGGAGATAGGAAACTCAGCCACAGGAGGGGGCTATGACCCCAGGCCTCTGGCTCCAGAGGCTACATTCTTAAATACCGGTTACATCCCTCGCTTCCCCCAAGGAAGGGGTAGAACCAGGAATTAAACAAAAGTTTTTCAGGAAAATGTTGGAGAGTCTATGTATGGTATTTAAAGGTATTTAAAATTTCAACTCTACAAATCCTGGTAATTTTTTTCTCTCTGTAGTTACTGCCTGATTAAAGATCATCAAAAAATCCCTTGTAAAATATACTTTTGATGGAGCAAAAGGGGGTGGGGCTATGAAGGCATACCTTTCCTGAAATTATCTGTTAAAAAATAATTAGCTTGGTTTCTCACATTATGATCAGAAGAAGAAAATGCTGCAGCTTTTGTCACTGATGGATGGGATAAAATATTTTGAATTTAGATAATTTATTTCTTTTTTACATTTGAACGGCCTTCCAAGACAGTTCCAATTTGTGATGTAGTCTCCACAAACATTTATTTATTTTTTTGTCTCTGATTTGAAGGAGTCTGGCAATGTCTCTGCTTCAGACTGGTGGTTTGTATATTTAACCAGTCAATGCTAAATTACTTTCAATAAAATTAATTCCGGCTGTCACTATCATTGAAGATAACAGTGTAAGATATATATATTCTTTGCCTGATTCAGTTGCCTGAGATGTTTTAGATCAATTCGAGGAAAATAAATGGAATAAGTAAAATCAACACATGAAAATAAATACCTTCATTTTTAATTTGTTCTATATGTACAGTACTCCCATCCATTAGTTATTCTATTTAAATTACAATGAATTGGCACAGGAGGATGGATATCTTTTGGGATTGACTCTGATGTGTTGGTGAAACTGAAGTCCAGAAATGAAAAATATTATTGAGTTCTTATTCAGTTCTCTTATCAATTCACTGGACAGCATGTAGATAAATTATATCGCATCTTATTTGTTTGTCCTGCTACTGATATAAGAAAGTGTCTTAGTCTGTTCAGGCTGCTATAACAGAACGCCATAGACTGGGTGACTTATAAACAACAGAAATTTATTTCTCATAGTTCTGGAGTCTGGGAAGTCCAAAATCAAGGTGCCGGGAGATTTGGTGTCTGGTGAGGGCCAACTTTCTGGTTCATAGAAAGATGTCTTTTTGCTACATCCTCACATAGTGGAAGGGGAAAAGGAAGTCTCTGGGTTTTTAGTTTTTATCTGTAAAATGGGATCTGTAGGACTGGCCTTAGCTTGCTTCCCTTTAGACCTCAGAATGGAAACTTACTTCAGAAGAATTCAGAGTCACCAGAGCATTTATGGTTTTTGGTTTTGTTTTGTTTTTTTGAGAGAGAGAGAGAGAGCATGCATGCATGCAAGCAAGCATGGGCAAGAGGGATTAGAACTTGATCCCAGGACCCCGGGATCATGACCTGAGCTGAAGGTAGACGCTTAACTGACTGAGCCACCCAGACACCCCAGAGCATTTATGTTCTTTTTTTTTTTTTAAGATTTTATTTATTCATTTGACAGAGACAGAGAGGGAATAAGCAGGGGGAGCAGCAGAGACAGAGGCAGAAGGAGGCTCCCCACTGAGCAGGAAGCCCAGTGTGGGACTCGATCCCAGGACCCTGGGATTGTGACCTGAGCCAAAGGCAGACGCTTAATGACTGAGCCACCCAGGCGTCCCAGGTGCATTTATGTCCTTAATGCTGCAGTAGAACCTGAGAACATCCAGTTGCAGAGTCTATATAGAGTCTCAGGAAGTGAGGAAAGGGGTAGTTTCTGATCTCTATTTTTCCTAATATTGTGCAATTGCTGTAGTTTGTTCTGGATTCTTAAAAATGTTAAATGGGTCTTTAGCCTTGAAATAAGCAAACTTTTACATAGAGTTTATAAATTAGATACAGACTTAAAGCAAATCAGAGGACACCCTCCCCCACCACACACACACAAATCACTTACCATTTTGAAAAAAAATCAGTTAAATTGAGTCAGCCAGATAATTGGTCCCTCAATACAATCAATTTCTTTAAACACTGAATTAAGAGTTGTTCTGGTTGAAACTAATTTTGCATGTAGACACTAAATATGTGGTACTTAGGTTTTCTTAAATCCTAAAAAAACCTAAATACTCTAAAAAAATGGAACACTCACCACTTCTTGCTCAGCTGTATGGACGTTAACTGTTGCCTTTCTAGATAAATTATTTTACATAGACCAAGAATGCTTTCATTTGTTTGTTTTCTGGTATCATATAAATTTCCAGTAATTTCTCATGAAATTATGTTTGAATAAGAAACCCCATTTCCATGCTTGTTTAATCTGATGACAACCTCTCGGTAAAACTGCTTTTTAGTGCTCCATAAATCAAAATTACCTTGGCAGCTAACATAATTTCACACTATTGGTGGCTCACAACTTACCCAGCTTCTTCCTTGTATTATACTGAACAAAATGAATGAATTAAAGTCCTTTTCTTTTTCTCCTCCACATGTTGCTTCCATCACAGCTTTGAGAGTGTGTGTGTGCACGTATGTACACTCTAAATAACCTAATCTAGGTTGTAATAGTTACAAGTTTATTTCCTTGTCCATGTGTCAATGTGGCTGAGCCACTGTACCTAGTATGAGGTCAAACATTATTCCGGATGTCTCTGTGATGGTGTTTTTGGATGAACTTAGCATTTAAATTGGAGGACTTTGAGCAAAGCATATGGCCCTCCATAATGTGAATGGGACCCGTCCAATAAATTGAAGGCTTAAATAGAACAAAAAACTGACCTTCCATGAGCAAGAGGGAATTCTGCCAACAGATGGCCTTAGGATTCAAACCACACAATCAGCTCTTTGCTAGAGTTCTGGCCTGATGACCTTCAGACTTGCGCTCCAGCATTGGTTCTTCTCTGGTCTCCAGCCTGCTGGCCTACCCTGCAGCTTTTGGACTCGCCAGACTCCATAATCACAGGAGCCAATTCCTTACAATAAATCTTTTTCTCGGCATATACACATTCTATTGATTCTGATTCTCTGGAGAATGCTGATCAATACTTGGGCATTCTCTAATTTTTTAATTAAATGATCAAAGAATGGAACTTTGTGGTAGCAAATGCATACTATTGTTGAAACCCTGAGATGGATTCATGTACAATCTTAACTTTCTTACTGCAAACCCAAATGATTTATCTTCTTTCTTTGCCCATTCAGTTGTGTTTTGATTTAAAAATCTCTGTGTATGTGTTGGAAATGGATAATAGTTGAGTGCATAAATTATGCATCAGCCTCAAATTTCTCACTGCAAAGGCCTCTAGGGCAGGGGATAGGAAGTGGGGAATACTGAGTAACTGCCAGTGTCCTCTTGAAGAGGAAAGTGCTGGGCTGAAGTCTTCACATTGCAGGTTCTTCATGTTTGATTTTTCTGACATACCTGCTGCTGAAAAAGTGCTTAGGACAATTGTAAAACCAAATATAGTCCACATTTCTTTAGAGTCAATTTTTCAGTTTTATTGGAAAACAGTAATAAATGTCCCTGGCCAGAAAGTTAAAAATGTTGTTTCAAATTGAAATAAATATCAATATATTATGGACTATAACGCAAAACTTGCACAAATTTGACAAAACTCCTAAGGAGGTCTCCACTTACAGATGAATGTTTCCAGTGGGTTCCTACTCATCATCTACCCCCAAATAGAGTTAAGATGGTATTCTCTACTGCACTCAGCAATACACTTTTGATAGAAAAGTTTCAAAAGCATGATCTTAAAATAGGCTGGCTTTAAAAAATGAAAAGTATTGAAGAAAAAGGAGAGGACCAACTCCATTTGAGAGCTCCCTCTTCCTTTAATTAAAAAGAGAACGCTTTCAAAAAGCAGACAATAGAAAGTGAGCTATCAACAGTGAGTTTTAATGGCACTACTTTTTTGTTTTTTATTTCCTTGTCCATAAAAGCCCCTTTTTGGTAAATGTTATTACTATAGTCATTATTTAAATTCTCATTTTAAGAGGTACAATTTATTGAGAACTTCTAATTCTAGGTCTCTACTTGGGTTTTCATATTTACTCCTTTCCACAGCTCCACGAGACGGACATGTTAAATAATCTTGTAAATGGCATGGATTTGCCTCCAGGTCTCCAAAGCCCATGGTTTGGGTCCATTGCCATGTTGACTCCCACTGTTTTTGCTCTCCTGGTTTAACCATCAAAGCACATTTACTGGGCAGTGGATATGTCAGAAGCGAAGGCATTCACATTCAGATAATACTGTGCTGTTGTTTTCAAAGCAGTCCATGTTTCATGAACCTGCAACAAAAGAAACTTGAAGTCATGATCTCTGAGTATGGAGAGCACATGTTATATTAGTTATTCAGGTTATTGTACAGATAATCCTAAAAGACTGAGAGAAGTAGAGTGGAAGAATAATACCCAATAAGGTTTGGTTAACATACTTTTAGTGACCTGTATACTTCAATGCTTAAATGTTTTATGGTATTTGGGGGCCACTGTATGAACCAATGTGGTAGTCTCCTGTTACATTGTAGTATCTGTTACTTGATCATAGCACTGGTCTACAATTAGAGGCAGGAGTGTACTTGAAAATTTCAGTATTCCCTAAAGGAGACACAGTCTACCCACTTATATAATATTTAATTTGCCAAATAAACAAATGTCTGGTTTTAATACCTCTAAATGCTGCCTTTTGGAGAAAAACATACATAAAACTTGATGCATTATTCAAGCCGGTGGTTTTCATCGCAAATGCTAACCAGAAACGAGCCAATCCTGGTAGACCAGTTAAAACTCAGCCAGGCAGAGTAAGGATAGGACCCAGGCCCCAGAAAAACAAGGACATTCCAATTTTTTTAGTGATTTTATACAACCCTCTAGCCTGGTGATAGAGCCTGATACACGTGTGAAGAGATAAAGGACAAACAGTGAAGGGATTAATTAATTTGTTATACATTTTTGTTTTCTAAATTGCTGAATTTTAAGAGGGAAATCATGAATAATTGAAATCCTCAGACAATTCAGCAATTTTATTTGGCCTGGAGTTTCTTCCATCAAAAAAGTAAACACGGAATAAAACTGGCTAAGGCACATTTCTTCTTTATTTCTCTTGGAGTGAGACTTCCAAATGAATAGAAAAGTGTACAAAAGGCAAACAAATGAAGGAATGACATTAAAGTTTTGCATAATTATCCCACAGGAAAATAAGCTGTTGAATAACTGAAAGGGAACGAAAATGTGACCATGATCCATTCATCCACCCACCCAAACATGCAATAATCTACTGAGATTTGACTGAGTAACAGTCATTTTGATAGTTTCTGAGAATAATGACCTTGATGGATAAGACGTGCACCTTACGTCTGTAGCTTAGGTAGGGGAGGTTGGGTGCACAAAGCAACTAATTTCAGGGTGACATTTAGAGAGCTATTCACATGTGAATGGCATGCAAAAGGGAGAAAAGAAAGAAGGACAAATGTCATCCAGGAAAGAAGGGAAAAGTTTCAAAAAGGAGGGAACATTTGATTTTAGTCTTGAAGGAAAAGGTGGAGTTTACCAGACAAAAGCCACTTTATGGGGAGGAAATGGCAGCTATAGCTCAGGGTGACTAGAGAGAAAAAACTCGTGGGTTGAGCTGGTACTGGGTTGATGCCTGCTGATGCAGTGCCTACTCAGCAAGATAGATGGTGCATTGTTTCTAATGCAAATACCTGATCAGCCAGCGAGTTGCCCCACATATTTGGATTCTGATCTGGGTCCCAGTAATCCTGCAAATATATACGTCTTTTGAGATGTAGGAACTGGTTTGCTGGGTCCTCCAACAAAAATGGCGCTCCCAACGCTCCTGTAATTCAGAGTCCAAGAGCACAGCATCTTTTAAGGCAGTAGTTTACATCTCAGTGTTTATCTTCTTAAAGAGACACAGCTGTGGTGTTTGGGAGGTTGGGGGCCTGAGAAGGGAGCCCTGAGAAAGCTACGCGCCAAGGGAGATGACCATTCCTCAGCCTTCCCCCATCACTGAGCTATCACCACCCTATGTGTCCTGCATATAGTGCAGCATGAAAGCCATGTGCTGGATGGAAAAGATTTTTAGAGCCTTCTGTACCTGCACGGGAGCCCACAGACCGGGATTCAAATTGCAGCTCTATCACTTTTCTGGACAAGTTGCTTAATTTCTCCAAGCTGCAGTTTTCTTGTATGTAAAAAGTTATAATAATAACGCAGTAACACAATGATATAGGATTACTGTAAGGGTTGGGTGTATTAATGGCTATAAGCCATCTGGCTCAAACCAGGCAGTCAACAATCTTATCCTTCCTTTCCTAGCCTTCCAAAAGAGAACATATCTTTCAGTTTGAAGTAGACTGCTTCCAAATCTGGCACTGTGGTTTAAATTGTTAGTATTGATAGATCTATCACTGAATTGAAGAAGTTTGCATTTTGTACTCCTTCCCAGTCCAGGATTAAGGGGGAAAAAAAAGATGATTGTTTTTAAAATCCAGACTGTTTTAGTATCTTGAAATGTTAACAGTCTATATTATATTTCATTTCCAAATAAAACATAATCACATTCAGAGTTGTAATTTGAATCAATATCAAGGAAGAACACACTCCTGACCTATCTGTGGTAACAACACAATCTGTTCATTGCTTGTGATAAAGAAGCATTTATTACAAATGTTATGTTAAGTACTCTATTGCTTCATCATTAACAAGACTCTATTGACCAGAGTTATAGTGAACTATAAGATATGAAACCTCTCCTCTGTAGGGGAGGAGGGAGAGGGGTACAAGATTCAAAGTAAAACAAGGCAACATAGGATTTGATTGTGCTAAGGGAGTTTAAGAGAAGGTATCCTTATCGAACTTCGGGGCTCTGGGGCACAAACAGACATTTTCATGGTCAGGAAAATTGCTGAATCTATTCCTTAAAGAAAAGATTAAATTTAGCAGGATAGGAGAAGGAGCAAGACTTTACATTTTAAGCTGAAGGAATGATGTGGCACTGGGAATCTTTAACATGAATGTAAGAAGACAATGGCTAGAGGGAGTTAGATTATTTGTGCATGTGTGTGTGTATTGATGACACACACAAATAATAATGATAACTAACATTTATTGAGCATTGCACTAAAAGATACTTTACCTGAATAACCTTATATAATACAACAAACCTAAGAAGTAGCACTGTCAAGCACCTCATTTTGCAGAAAAGGTAACTACATCACACAAAAGTTAAATAATATGTTCAAGGCCACATAGCTAGTAGGAAACGGAGATGAAATTCTCCCCTTAAAGCCACTGTGCAATATTATGACTAAGAGACAGGAATGCTTGGGGCCAAAGAAAAGTAATAATAATAAAAAAAGCCTTATGCATTTATAAAAAAGAAACAATCATTACTTACACATTCCTTATGATCTCATGCTTTTCCAAGCTTGACCTTGAGCACTAAGCAGGGTTCTAGTTATTAGCTCTATTACTTCTAGTTTAATTTGTTACCCCATGAAGTTCTACTTCTAACTGCCTACCTATTGAAAATGACAACCTCTGTGGATATTATACATCAATCAGGCTGTCTCTGGGTGCAAAATATTACTAGTGATTAAGATAAAAAAATGGCTCAGACACATTATCTATTAATAGGATATTAGCAATTTTAGTTATTCATGATTTAAAAATAAAATATAGAAGTCAACTTTTCAGTAGCTATTAGTAACAGATGATAGTAGTAATACTGGCCTGCTTCTGGTCATCTAATTCAATACAATCAAACCAGCATGCCTGTGGAAGCCATCCTCCAATATGTCCCCCAAAGACCACTGCCTTCTTGGTATTCAGATCCCCTGTGGTCTTCTTTCGTTTAGGAGGATGGACCTGTGTAGCCACAGGATACTGTGGAAATGACAGTGTGTGCTTTCTGTGGCGAGCACATAAAAGGCATTATAGCTTCTGTCTCACACCTCTCTTGGATCACTTGCTCTAATGGAAACAGCTGCCATGTTGTGAGGACGTTCAAGCAGCCCTGAAGAGAGGCCCATCTGTCAAGGAACTGAAGCCCACCAACAGCCACACAAATGAACCACCTGGGAACCTAATGGTTTCGTTCCAGTCAAGCCTTCGATCACAATAGCCCTCACTGACATCTTTACTGTAATCTCATGAGAGTTCCTGAGTCAGAGTCACTGACCTAAGCCACTCCCAAATTCCTCAGAAACTGTAAGATGATAAATGTTTCTTGTTTTAAATTGCTATGGTTTGGGGAAATTGTTAGGTCATAGTAGATAACTAATATGATGCATTATGAGTGCCTACTGATGTCAGGATAAACTGCTAATCACCAGAGCTGAGACCCAGGTGAAGCTAAGTGAGTCCACAAATAGAAGAAGAAACTTGCTCTCGCGCTTACACAAATTTTGTGCCATAAGATCTCCACTTGCCTCACCCTTGTCCCTGCTTGGATAATCATCGTTGCATAGCAAGATAAACAAAAAACAACCCTTGCCGCTAAGGAACTCATATTGTATTCAGAGTTCATAAATAATGATAAGGAAACATACTGTGACCAGACCGTTTGAAGGGGAAGTGATTAATTCTGATATTGGCGTGGAGGGATCACAGAGAAATTGGTTTTGAGTTGAGCTTCCAAGGTTATGGGCTATTTCCACAGTGAAGAAGAAGGGAGCAGAAACAAAGAGCATGTACTCCAGGCTGAGGAAAACTGGAGAGCCCAGGAACAGAGGAGCAAAGTCAGGTTCAGGTTCAGTGACCCCCACTTTGCCAATGTGATTGCCGGGTAGGGCTGAGGTGTGGATGTGCTCAGAGAATGTCGGGGGATTATTACTGTCATACCAAGGAGTTTGGACTTTATTCTTCAAATCATTAATATTTCTGAACAAGAAAATGATAGGACCAGATTTACTTAAAATTTTTTTGTTTGATTATGATTTAAAATATGCATAATGTAAAGCCATTTTAACTATTTTTAAGTGTACAATTCAGTGGCATCAAGCACATTCACAGTGTTGTACAATCATCATCACTATCTCAAGAATTTTTTCATCCCCCGAAATAGAAACTCGGTACCCTTCAACAATTCCCATTACTCTCTCCTCCAGCCCTTGGTCACCACCATTAGCTTTCTGTCTCTATGCATTTGCTTATTGTAGGTATCCCATCTAAGAGGAATCATGCACTATTTGTCCCTTTGTGTCTAATTTATTTCACTTAGTAGAATATCTTCAAGGTATACATGTTGAAGTATATATCAGCTTTGCATTCCTTTTTAAGACCAAATAATATTTTGTACATATATGCCAACATTTTGTTTATCCATTCACAGATACTTTTGGAAACTCCTTTGTCAGTGGTGTTGGAAGGCAGATTGTAAAAGGAAGAGAGAGTGAGAGACACAGGTTGGAGCCTCTTCTAGTGGTCCAGAGGACAGATAAGTAGGGCCTGAATCAGATGAGTGACACCAGGAATGGTAAGACAGGACTGGTTGGAACAGAACAGGGAACTCATTCATTTGGGCTCACTGGTGTGCACTGACCAGCATTGAAGTTCTGGTTTTAACTGAGATGTGTTCATAGGAAACTTCTCAGATTTCTCTTCATTCTCTTTGAAAAGGTGTCTGTTACAGTGTTACACGTTTAATGTGTTCTTCTTCTGTTTATTTTATTATTTTTAAAAGATTTTATTTATTTATTTGACAAAGAGAGAGAGAGTACAAGTAAGCAGAGCCGCAGGCAGAGGGAGAGGGAGAAGCAGGCTCTCTGCTGAGCAGGGACTCCGATGTGGGACTCGATTCCAGGACCCTGGGATTATGACCTGAGCCAAAGGCAAATGCTTAACTGACGGAGTCACCCACGTGCCCCTGTTCTTATTCTGTTTTAAAAAAAAAAGGAAGGGGAGGTTTCAAAACACAGTGTCTAGGCAAATAAGATCCAGTATCAATACCTAATAAATGTTTCTTTTTTAAAAAATATTTATTTATTTGAAAGAGAGAGCACGCACATGAGCAGGGAGATGTGCAGAAGGAGAGGGAGAGAGAAGCCCAAGTAGACTCCCCGCTGAGCGCAGAGCCCGACTCGGGAGCTCAATCCCATGACCTGAAATCACGACCTCAGCTGAAATCAAGAGTTGACCACTTAACCCACCAAGTAACACAGGCACGCCTCTAATAAATGTTTCTTCATAAATTATGCTTAAGATATAATTAACAACTAGATAAAGAAAGTACATTAACCACTTAAGATAGTGTTACTTGGAATCATCCAAAAGTAAAACCAATATTCTGCACCATGATTGTCCTGGAGCATTGTACAATCACTAAGGAAAAAAAAATGCTATTACCTAAATCTTGGCAGAGAAGCATGCCTTAAAATATAAAGCATAGCTATTTTAAGCTCTAATAATTCTGTCTTTTGTAAATCTTCTCTCTTTTTGCTCATGGAAAATGTTTCACTGATACAATGTCCCCCTCCCCCTCCCCCTTGCCCCTGAACAAAGCACCTACCTCAGCATTATGTGCCCAACAGGCATCCAATAAATATTAATTGATGGTGATAATAGCATCACCCATGAGAGAGACAGAAAGTAGTATTTATTATCCTACTTTACAAGTGAGAAAATTGACACACAGAGATGAAATGACTCACTCAAGGTCACATAGTAAGTCATTGGCAGAGCTGGAAATAAAATGCAAGTAGTACAGAAGGGCATGCTATTATCCTCTCTGCTTGCGAAATTCCTCCTCCCTTTTTCATTCTGCCTGATCAACCTTGAAAGTTAGTGAGAGCAAGATCACAGTTTGTGTTTGTAAGCCTCTATAATACTGCTGGG